AGAAAGAGAGGAACTGAGATAGAAAGACTGCACTAATCTGGGGAATGTTAAATTACAGAATGGGAGAAAACACCCAAGAATATTTGAAGTCATTACCAGGAGGTCTGCTCCATGGCTTGGAAACCAGCAAAACTGGACAGCTACATGCAAAAAAAATGGGCTCAGACCTCTACATAAACCGCGCAAAAAATTGAGATCAATATGGATTAAAGAACCTCAGCATCAGATCTTAATCCATAAGGTCCATTGAAGAGAAGGTCAGCAAAATCCTCCACGTCATTGTAAATAAAAGTATAATCAAAGGTGACATGCCACTGAACAAGCAAGTGGAAACAGAGATAAACTAATGGGACTGTCTTATACTAAGTAGCCTCTGTGCCTCAAAAGAATCAGTGAGCATAATACAAAGACAGTTTACAGAATGATAAAGGATACTCACTCAATACCCATCTGATAAGGGGTGATTATCAAGGGTATACAAGGCACTGGTTGAACTCTACAGTAAGAAAACATCCATTTCATCAGAATGTGGGGCAATGAAATAAACAGAAACTTTCTCAGAGGAGAAATTTGCATGGCCAAAAAGCACATGAAAAAATGCTCTTCATCACAAGTCATCAGGGAGATGCAGATGAAAACAAATAATACCATGTCACACCACAGAAACTTGTACATATCCAAAAGAACAAAAGCAACCAGTGTTGGCATGGATGTGAGTTGAACGGCACTCTCTTTCTCTGCTGGTGGGAATGCTGAATGGTGCAGACTTTTTGGAAAACAATATGGACGTTTCTCAAAAAATCCTAGAAATTGAGCTCCCATTTGAGACCGCAATACCACTTTTGGGAATATATCCTGGAGATGCAAAGAATTACAGTAGAAATGACATCTGCACTTGTATGCGCATTGCAGAACTCTTTGCAACAGCCAGAATCTGGAAAAATATCCAAGTGCCCAAGAACTGATGACTGGTTAAATACAACTTTGGGATTCAGCCGAAGAGAAGGACTACATAGAGGGCGGAATCCACAGATCCCGAAGGGAAAAAAAAAAACAGGTTCCAAAAAGAGCCGAGATCATCGGGAAGTCCCAGATAGGGTAGATACCGCATCCCGCCTCCCCCAGATGGAACCCCGGTGACCAGAAGCCTCTACAAGCACAGCTCGAGTATGCGGGAACTAGGACTTTTCCTCAAATCTGCCGGGACTACAACTCCCAGGTAACCTCAGATTCCGGAAGTCACGCCCACAGCCTGCCCCCCAGCGCCATCTTTACAGCATTCAGCTGAAGAGAAGGACTACATGGAGGGCGGGATCCACAGATCCCGAAGGAAAAAAAAAACAGGTTCCAAAAAGAGCCGAGATCATCGGGATGTCCCAGATGGAGTAGGTACCGCATCCCGCCTCCCCCAATTGGAAACCCGGTGACCAGAAGCCTCTACAAGCACAGCTCGAGTATGCGGGAACTAGGACTTTTCCTCAAATCTGCCGGGACTACAACTCCCAGGTAACCTCAGATTCCGGAAGTCACGCCCACAGCCTGCCCCCCAGCGCCATCTTTACAGCATTCAGCTGAAGAGAAGGACTACATGGAGGGCAGGATCCACAGATCCCGAAGGAAAAAAAAAAAACAGGTTCCAAAAAGAGCCGAGATCATCGGGATGTCCCAGATGGGGTAGGTACCGCATCCCGCCTCCCCCAATTGGAAAACCGGTGATCAGAAGCCTCTACAAGCACAGCTCGAGTATGCGGGAACTAGGACTTTTCCTCAAAACTGCGCGGCCGCTTATGCGGCCGCGCGACACCTCTCTATATACAAAGTGATCCATGGGAAGTAAACCACCCAACGTTTCTCTCTGAAAATCATAGTTAAGTTTGGAGCACGGCCACAGCCCCAGAAACACAAGGACTTAATGCATAACCCAGCAGCTTGGAGCAGAAAGTGAACGGGCTATGCGTTAATCCAGGCCATCAAGTCTGCTGGAGGGGAAAGGGTGTTGCCCCAATCGCCCTCTCCTCTCTGGAAAGAAAGATGGCGGCCGCATGGGAGCCTTGTGGACAGCAGGTATGAGCCGGGGGAGTTGGGGCGACTAAAACCTCATGGGAAGGGGGGCGTTTCGGTCCACCCTTCACGCCCTACCGAGGCCACCAGTTGCCCCCCACTAGCGGCTCTCCAGCACCGCCACGACTCCAGAGCACAGAAACCAATTTCTTAACTATCTGACTTTCAGTAGAAATAATCCAGGGTCAATAAGTAAAATAGCAGAAATCCAAAACCAACATTTAATTCTTGAACCCAGCTGTAGAAAGCAAATCACTTCACAATGCTTTTTCAGCATGTCTGATTTGGGGTGGGGGGTAAACTCTAATAATAGTGTTGAACTAGAATTCATCTGCCCCACAGGGACTTGGAGGGGTGAAGGGTGGGGTTTTATTGGGGTTCTTCATGGTAAAAAATAAGTATTGGTGAAGGGAAATGTTTTTGATATTTTCATGACTGAGACCTAAACCTGAAAGCTTTGTAACCTTTCCCACGGTGATTCAATAAATAAATAAATAAATAAATAAGAAAATAAATAAATAAATAAAACTTTGGTACATCTACACAATGGAATACTACGCATCTTTTACAAAGGTGAAATAATGATATTTGCATACATGTGCATCAATATAGAGAGTGTCATGCTAAGAGAAATCTTTCAGAGAGAGAGGGTCGGACATAGAATTACTGCACTTATTTGTGGAATATAATGTAACAGCTGGGAGACTGACAGATAGAGTAAAGAAGGGACCAATATTTTTTTAAGATCATTTCTCCTGCCCCCACGCCTGACTTCACTACTTTCATAAACTAGAAATTACATTAGGTATATAAAGAGTAAAATTTAATTTTTTTTTTGATTTTTTTTTTTTATTAGTGAAACACCATGAGGTACAGTTGTAGATTTACAATTTTTTGTGCTTGGGTTTGATTATACAATGATAAGATACCCATCCCTCCACCAGTGCCCATTTTCCACCACCATGGATAATATACCCCCCACCCCCATCCCCCCATCCCCCCCGCCTCTGTGGCAGGGCAATCCCCTGTGTTCTCTCTCTCCTTTTGGGTGTTGTGGTCTGCAAAAGAGGCATTGAGTGGCAAACATGTTCAGTCCATAGTCTACTTTCGACATGCATCTCCCCTCCTGGGAGGGTCCTCCAAGCACCCTTTATTTGGTGTTCCCTTCTCTGTCTGAGCTGCCCTTTCCTCTAGAATGCCCGACTGGCCACTAAGCTATGGAGTAATCCTCCTGGTGCTGATCTCAGCTATTCTTGGGTATTAATCTCATATTTTGTTACTTTATATCCCCCAGATGAATGCAATCTTTCTATGTCTATCCCTTTCTTTCTGACTCATTTCGCTTAGCATGATACTTTCCATGTTGTACCACTTGTTCATGACTTCATCTTTTCTAAGAGCTACATAGTAGTAAAATTTAATTTTATAACTCTTGGTTGTTTTTAATTTTCTGAAGTTTCTATAACCTTGCTCTGGCCTCATCTAAGCATTACAGGAATGCACAGGGTTGCCCCAGACCTAGGCACGCAGGAGGCTTGTAGAGACTTGCTTCTTGATGGTTGCAGTTGCCAGAAAAAATGGTCCATAATAAACCCATCTGGAAGAACTAATTTGAAAACTTAATTTATAGACTCTATAATGACAGCATTGTTGTCACTACAAGATAAAAGAAATATAAACTCACGTTCAGTTCTTCTTTTACCATAGCTTCACATCAACTATGCTGTCATGTTTTTAATATTTTTTGGTATGTTTAGTAGGAGAGCTTATTGACCTCCTTATTAAGTTTAAGTTCACATTACATGTCGGTAAAAGCTCCACCAATCATCATTGTCATATTCACTTCAGATGATAAATTTTAATAGATGATTGTGTGTAACAAAGTATATTGTAAGCATTGCATTGTGTATCTCAGCATGTTTCTCATAAATAATACAAGTGGAAGGAGCAAGAATAGAATAATTCAGGGTGGTCTAGTTTGTAAGGTCTAGTGAGGTTAAGTGTTAACACAAAAATACAAAAATGTGAACACAACAAGGAATTATGGAAGAATGAATATTGGGGAAGAATAACTATAGTAAAGTACAGACTGTGAATTGGTTAAAATGAACAACGCACATTTAATCAGTCATGTAACTGACCTGTTGGCTACATGCAGTTACTAGCTCCAAAAACTTGGGCTCGAGCGGGCCCAGTAACGTCTCCATTGGAGACTTTGTTGTTACTGTGTCTGGCATATCGAATACTCTCGGTAGCTTGCCGGGCTCTCCGAGAGGGGTGGAGGAATCGAACTCGGGTCGGCCATGTTGGCCGCTTGTAAGGCGAACGCCCTACCTGCTGTGCTATCGCTCCAGCCCAATCAAGTTCTTAAATCTTAGCTATAAACAAAAGGACAAGAAACATTTAAACAATGCTGCAGTTTATCAAAAGACAGATAAGAAATTTCAAATCTTATGTCTTTGACAGTTATAAGAAAAATTGAAGTCTGGCTAAGTTATAAACATGTTTATAATGCAACATTTGCATAACGAATAATGCTACCAATGATGTCTAGAAGATCAGGATAGTTTTAAAAAAACAAAACATAAAAATACAGAGCCAATTATTTACTTGTAGAACATGTACATTTATGCCTAAATTTTAGCATTTACTGTACCACCATTAATTTAAAAAATCACATCCAAAATCTAATGCAAAACCACCTATGAATTGGCATATTAGTTTATTTCTCAGTTTTTGAAGATGTCCTTAGTTTACTGATGTAGCAAACAAATGTCAGTTCTGATTCCTATGCAAAAAAAACAGAAGATAATCTGTTTGGCAATGAACATTAAAAGTTCAATTACACACAGGCAACATGCTATATATGAAAAGTTACTAACTGAACTAAGGGTATTAAATACTGAAAAATGTTAACAGTTTATTATAATTTATTTTATTTAACAATCTAGGAAATTTGCAGCCATCAGCCATTCCAGTGCAATTTCAGGTGATATTGAGAATTCAGGAATCTCGGTGGAGCTGTTAGTGTAAGGAACCTTGTATGTGAAATACATGCACACTTTGGATAGCACATGTGAAGGGATCTCTCTACAATTGACTTCATTGGTTTCATTTTCAGGAAACTGACCTGGGCCCCTCAACATGGCTTTTATTGTTCCTGATGTTAACGCATGTTCTCTTTTTACAATAAACTCATGGCCATCAGAGGATATTAATTTGACATACATAGCATCAGGGCCTTCACATCCACCATAGGTTTTCTCTTCTGCATCAATTATGTTCTTAAGAAATTCTACTTCATCCCAGAGGAAATTTAGGAGTTTCTTGTCAGCTCTGCAGCCACCACAGCCACTACAGCCGCCACACCCGCGCCCGCGCTCTGCCAAGAAGGGACCACAATTTAAATGATTCTTGGAGGGCTCACTCGGGATGTTAGATTCCTGCTGAAAGTAAACTATAGAGCAACCATGAAGGCCACTTGCTATATGCATTGCAAAGCATAACACCAAAAGGAGAGAGAGTAAAGGGAATGTGTTTGCCATAAAGACAGGTGGGAGAGATTGTGTGGGGGTGGCAGGAGGGATACTGGAAACATTAGTGGTGGAGAATAGGCATTGGTAGAGAGATGCGTACTCGATCATTTTATGACCGAAACATAGTCACGAAAGTTTGCAAATCCGTAACTGAATGTGATGGTGATTCATTAAAAAATACAATAGAACAGAAGGAAACCAATCTTAAGGGAAATATATTTTATACAGAAAGATAGATGGACAGACAGATATGCACACAAGGCTAAACCTTAACAACGTGTTACTAATCTGTTATAGAAGTGCTTCATGGCTCCTGATGAAATACAACCACCATGACATACTTTTCTCTAAGAAACAATTTTTAGATCATTTTTAGTGAATTATTCATAATAAGCACTGCAAAAGTAAATTTTTGGCTCTGCATTAGGGCAAGGTTTTAGGTTTGGGATGGAAACATTTGAAATACGGTGGTGAGAAGGTGTGATGGTGGTGTATTGGTGTTTGAATATTAAATGTACTCAAATATTGTGAACAACTGTATAAAAATAAAATTAACTTTAAAAATCTTTTTAACAGATTAAAGCAACAATTCTGAGTGTCGAAAACTATGAAGAGGAAAACAAAATCAAGAATATCTCAGAGGTTTCTGTATTCAATTATCAGGTGTTCACTAATAAAATTCAGCATGGTCCACAAGGCTCATGCTGAAAACTGAATGCTGAAATCCCCAAACGTGCCATGTGGAGAGACGCATCATGTGAGTCCAGCACTAAGCCAGAGGTTAGGACTGTGATCATAAGAAAACAGTTGGTTGTCAAAAAAATGAAAGTATATAGAGCAAGACCTCATAAGATCATGTTTGAATCAAGGCGCACTTATAATATTGAGAATCGAATAGTGGAATATTCTGCCATTCACAGTACTCACACTTCAGTCTATAAAACACTAGAAATTTTATCTGCACATAGCACCATAGCACTGTCCTCCATTTGTTCATCGATTTGTTCAAGCGGGCCCAGTAACTTCTCCCTTGTGAGACTTGTTGTTAATGTGTTTGCCTTGCTTGCTCTGCGGGTGAGATACTCTTGGTAGTTTGCCAGGTTCTCTGAGAGCGGCAGAGGAGACAAACTCAGCTCAGCCAGGCAGAGGCAAAATATTTACTAAATTTAAATGTAGTAATGACTCAGCCAGAGCCATAGTAAAGCAGATAGGTATTTGGCTTGGTCAGGGACCTATCAGGTTCAATCTAAGGCTTCCCATATTTTTCGACAAGCACTGCCAGGCATAATTACTGACTGTCGAGCCATGAGTCACCTCTGAAAATTTTGGGGTGGACCCAAAAACAGTAAGACCTTATGAAATACCCACTGTATACAAGCCACAGTTTTAAGCATATTAAGAGGCATGAGTTGATAATATTTTGTTAGAAATGCTCTAGCATCAAATATATAAGATCAAAGAGATAGTATGTGGGAAATTGTCTGCCATGAAGGCAGGGGGACGGCCAGAAAGGGGCAGTATACTGGGGAGATTGGTGGTGGGGAATGTGCCCTGATGGAGGGATGGGTGTTTGAACTTTGTATGTTTGTAACTCAGGCATGAAAGCTTGTACTTGTATCTCACGGTGATACAGTAAAATAAAATTTAAAAAATGTAAAAATTCAACCAAGAGAACTCTCAAAAAAAAGAAGATAAGAAAATAAATAAAAAAAGATTCAAAATCTATTTAGAGACTCATCCCTTCCCCGCCCAAATGGAGCTAGCCCCAGCAGACAAAAATGTCCAGAACTTGAAAGCCATGATCATGGCCACTATCGGCAATTGTGGACTAGCCTCCTCTATGAGTTATCTGCAGAAAAACTCGGGTATGTGGGACTTCTGACTGAAAACTCCAGGCTCAATGAAATCAGATAATGGGTGATCTCTCCCCAACTCTCCCTGTTCTCAGCTGCTTGGCAGTCACACCCACAAAACACCTCTGGCGCCATATAATCTCATCAATGGCCATGATCAGGCGACTCAACAATGAATCTCTCAGAATAGAGCACAGAACAGTACACCATAGACATGGCCCTAGACCCCAGGTCAGCCTGTTTTATTCAGGGCATCCCAGAGGGAAGTGAGGTGGTCCAATGGAGCCAGCCCCAGCAGCCGAAAACTTTTTCCTTCCTTCCTTCCTTCCTTCCTTCCTTCCTTCCTTCCTTCCTTTTTACCTTCCTTCCTTCCTTCCTTTTTACCTTCCTTCCTTTTTACCTTCCTTCCTTCCTTCCTTCCTTCCGTTCTTTTTACCTTCCTTCCTTTCTTTTTTCCTTCCTTTCTTTATTCCCTTCTTCCATTCTACTTTCCATCATTCTTTCCTTCCATCCATGTTTCCTTCCTTAGATATGCCTTACTTTCTTCTTTCTTTCTTTCTTTCTTCTTCTCCTCAGTCTTCCTTTCTTTCTTCCTTTAGCTAATTAGGGATCAGCGAATACTTTCTTTAAAAAAAAACTACATCTAGTCAATTGGTTACTCTTTAAGGATCTGTCTCTGTCTCTACTCATCTCTGCATGTGTAGTATGAAATCCGTCCCTGGACACTTGGGTGATCCTTCCCCAGCAAAGTTCCTGATTCTGTCTTTGCACTGACTCCTACTGGGTCATCTTTTTTTCACTTCTAAAATATATTTCTGCTCCAGCACTGAGGAATAATGTAGGGCTCAATATATTTTAATATTCTGGGTGACTGACCCTGGTTCTATCTCCAGCACAACATATAGTCCCATTAGCAGCACCAGGAGTCACTCCTGAGCATAGAGACAGGAGTACTTGAGTATCACTGGGGCTACCCCAAATCCTCTCCCTCTACACACACACACACACACACACACACACAAACACACATACATAACACACACATACACACACACACTTTCTGGGCTGGATTGATAGTACAGTGTGTAGGTTGCTTGCCATGTATGAAGAAAATACTCAAGAGTTCAAGGAACATACATATTGGGATGGCAGGGATTGAATCTAGGTCGAACATGTGGAAGGCAATTGCGTTTCCCACTGGATTATCACTTTGATCCAGATGACGACACTATGTTAAATTACAACTGACTTCAAGTATTTATTGTGTTCTTCCTGATTCTTTTGATAGGTTCCCAAATATCCCATACTACTTGCGATTTTCTAATAGATGGTAAAATTTGTTGATCACAACAATTGGTTATAATATGTGTAAATTGTTTCTCATTTGTCAAATCTAATTGTCACTTTGAATGTCCATTCAGCAGCAGTCACACACAGAGAGTGAGACAAACACATAAGTAGACAAACAAACGGATTGACTTAGCTTTAGGGTCATCTATGCAGCCATCAGTAGTCTCATGGCATGTCAATATAATGCAATATTGCTCCCCCCAACCCCAGCAGATCCAAAGGTGAGCCAATGTTGTAGTTGACAGAGACATCAAGGACAGTTAGGAAGTATATAAACATGTCACAGGGACCTGGAGAGCAGAGGCTAGTGTAGTTCACAGAGAATCAGTAGGCATGAATCAGTATTCAACTAGAATATGGTAAGCCTTATTTTAGCTTGACGTTCACATTTGCAGTGTGATTTTAGACACTGACTTCCTTTCTCTCAAATACAAAGGGTATTTCTTCATTTATTAAATTATATTTGATAGATATTTACGACCTCAAGTACATGTTTATATATGAGTGTTCACACTCTGTGTTTCCTTTTACTTTTAATAGTATTTTAAAATGATATCCATGAAATAAAGTAAATCAGAGAATATTTTGACAGAAACAGAAAATGCAGTTTTGGTAGAAAACCTAATATTTACAGGATGTTTTATCTATAGCGGTCTCTCCAATTGTATTTATAATTTAGTATTTTAAATTTAGTGCTATTCAAACGTCATTATCATGTGTCCTTTGAGTTTTCCTTCTAAACTTGATGATAAGAAAAACTGGATTGTGGGGAAGGTGTGGAGTGCTGAGTGATAGGGGGGCAAGTCCTCAAAGGTAAGGAAGTTTGGGGTTATTTTCATCAAGCTTTGACCAACAGAAGCCAAGAAGTAGAAGATGATGTGAGGGAGAATAAAATCGGACAGAAACATTGCAGAGAGAAATTATCAAGGAAGGAGAAACAGTTTGAGATAGAATGTTGGAGAGAACCAAATAGTTCAAATCAAAACAGAAGGAATATAGTTAAATATGCTGAGAGCAAGTCAAAACAGTTGACTTTAATCAATTCTAGGACTAGAAACCCTACTTTATCTCTAGTAGAGTACCTAACTCTACTAGAGGAAAAACAGCCTAGCCAAAAACCATGGTTGAGGTTTCTTTTCTTATTGTCTCTAGAACACAGTTGGCACTTGGCAGTTTTGAATGGAAACACGTTTTAGAAATGATACTTCCTATAAATAACTAATACACATTACGTAGAGGGATGGAAGATACATCATCTTTAATGTTTTTATTACATTCCAGTTTGTAAGGTACATATATGATTTGCCATTATAATAAAGAAATGATATCTTCTAAGTTGAACAGGAGAATTGATTCTTTTTTTGCTGTAAGTATGGTCCAGGTTTAGGCAACTTGTCATCTTCACAAAGATTTTCTTTCTGGGCTGGAGCTATAGGTAAGGCGTTTGCCTTGCACAAGGGTAGGCCATTTACCTCACATGTGGCCGTCCCAGGTTCGATACTCAGCATCCTGTATGGTT